GACCAACATGCTCAAAGACTGGCCCACCATCTCTTCTACATGTGAATGCAGGGCTGGCACTGCCTTTTTGGCGAAGAAATGCCGGCTTGGCACTCTCCACCGCGGCTCGGCACAAGCCATCATTTCTCGGAAAGGTGCTGAGTCCACCACTTGGAAAGGGAGGGACTGCTGCACCAGCAACTTGGACAGGAGGACGTTCAGCTTCTGCACCGTCGGGTGCGTGCTCGCAAACTGTTGTCTCTTGGAAACGGATTCCAAGAAAGACTGCTGACGGAATCCGTGAAGAGGAGTAGCAGGAGAAGGAGCATCTGAACGAGCGGAAGATGCCAACGAGCGACAACTCCCCTCAGCAGAGGTGTTGGAGCCTTGACTGGCTGATAGAGGGCGATTGACGTTGGGTGACGGAGCAAGTAACGGAGCGGGTGATGGAGCGGGGGCTGGGGCAGGCAGAAACCGCCGTATCTTTATCACGGTTTTCCCAGGCCAACCGAATGGCGACGCTGCATATGCTGACGCAACGCTGTAGTCCCAACATGGGCCCCCTGGCCACGCTTGACTTTCTGGCCACATAGTCGGCATACGGCTACGTTACTTCCTCGGGCGGCTTGACGAAAAAATTGCCACACCGCCGAGTAGGAAACTTTGCCCCCGCTACTCCTCACTGGCTGACTGCTACTTCCTCCGTGCACACCGGCACCACTACTGGCCGTGGTGGTAGGCTGCAGTGGAGCTGGTGCTCTACTCCGTGGCCGTTTGCCTCCACTGACACTGCTGCGACCCTGCTGCCTCCTGGGCAACCCACCGACTGTTTTGCTCGCTGCCAAGCTGGCACCCTCTTCTCCTGATGATGCGGAAGCAATAGCCTGATGACGATGAGGCTGCCAAGTGCGATCAGCCTCATCATCATCAATTAGGGTCTCCGCCTCACTACTAGCCCCCTCGGCTGCGTGTGGGTCAGGAGACAGACCTGTCTCTAGACCGGCTACCGAGCCACTCTCCTCGCCAGTACTTCTTCGCCTGGCTGCTGAAGAGGCGGATGTCTCCCCCCCGTTCCTGACCGCCCTCTGTTAGCTCTTCCTCACTGTACAGTGGGGCTGAGCCCACAGCATGCGATACTTCGCTTGGTGAGGGAACACACAAAGGACAGGGGCAGGTAGAGGACACGTGATTTCAGTGGGCTTGCTCCCGGGCCATGCCAACTAACGGTTGTGTCTGACGTACCCACCGACCGTTGGCTGTAGGTGTCAGAGGTGACCTGGGAAGAGGAAGACGACCGAGCCAACCAATCGATGACGGCAGGGTTGTCGGTGGAGACACGACCGCTGGATGACACCGGGAGCACTGGCCTCTGGCTGCGACTAGTGCTGCCTCAACCCCTTCCTCTGCTGCCACGTCTGCTCGCTCCTGAAACATTGCCTCCTCTGCCACTCCTCTGCGTGTTGTCTGACATACTCTTTAATTCAATAAGCACCCCAAAAATAACGTAACGATTCTGTGTCCCTGAGTAACAATTCTGTGTCCCTGAGTAACAATTCTGTGTCCCTGAGTAATGATTCTGTGTCTCTGAGTAACGATTCTGTGTCCCTCAGTAACGATTCTGTGTCCCTCAGTAACAATTCTGTGTCCCTGAGTAACGATTCTGTGTCCCTGAGTAACAATTCTGTGTCCTGAGTAACAATTCTGTGTCCCTGAGTAACGATTCTGTGTCCCTCAGTAACGATTCTGTGTCCCTGAGTAACGATTCTGTGTCCCTGAGTAACAATTCTGTGTCCCTGAGTAACGATTCTGTGTCCTTCAGTAACGATTCTGTGTCCCTCTCAGTAACGATTCTGTGTCCCTGAGTAAACAATTCTGTGTCCCTGTGTAACGATTCTGTGTCCCTGTGTAACGATTCTGTGTCCCTGAGTAACAATTCTGTGTCCCTGAGTAACAATTCTGTGTCCCTGAGTAACAATTCTGTGTCTGTCCCTGAGTAACAATTCTGTGTCCCTGAGTAACAATTCTGTGTCCCTGAGTAACGATTCTGTGTCCCTGAGTAACGATTCTGTGTCCCTCAGTAACGATTCTGTGTCCCTGAGTAACAATTCTGTGTCCCTGAGTAACGATTCTGTGTCCCTGAGTAATGATTCTGTGTCCCTGAGTAACGATTCTGTGTCCCTGAGTAACGATTCTGTGTCCCTGAGTAACAATTCTGTGTCCCTGAGTAACAATTCTGTGTCCCTGAGTAACAATTCTGTGTCTGTCCTGAGTAACAATTCTGTGTCCCTGAGTAACAATTCTGTGTCCCTGAGTAACGATTCTGTGTCCCTCAGTAACGATTCTGTGTCCCTGAGTAACGATTCTGTGTTCCTGAGTAACAATTCTGTGTCCCCTGAGTAACAATTCTGTGTCCCTCAGTAACGATTCTGTGTCCCTCAGTAACGATTCTGTGTCCCGTGAGTAACGATTCTGTGTCCCTGAGTAACAATTCTGTGTCCCTGAGTAACGATTCTGTGTCCCTCAGTAACAATTCTGTGTCCCTGAGTAACAATTTCTGTGTCCCTGAGTAACAATTCTGTGTCCCTGAGTAACGATTCTGTGTCCCTCAGTAACGATTCTGTTGTCCCTGAGTAACAATTCTGTGTCTGTCCCTGAGTAACAATTCTGTGTCCCTGAGTAACGATTCTGTGTCCCTGAGTAACGATTCTGTGTCCTGAGTAACAATTCTGTGTCTGTCCCTGAGTAACGATTCTGTGTCTGTCCCTGAGTAACGATTCTGTGTCCCTGAGTAACGATTCTGTGTCCCTGAGTAACGATTCTTTGTCCCTGAGTAACGATTCTGTGTCCCTCAGTAACGATTCTGTGTCCCTCAGTAACAATTCTGTGTCCCTGAGTAACAATTCTGTGTCCCTGAGTAACGATTCTGTGTCCCTGAGTAACAATTCTGTGTCCCCCGAGTAACAATTCTGTGTCTGTCCCTGAGTAACGATTCTGTGTCCCTGAGTAACAATTCTGTGTCCCTGAGTAACGATTCTGTGTCCCTCAGTAACGATTCTGTGTCCCTGAGTAACGATTCTGTGTCCCTGAATATCGATTCTGTGTCCCTCAGTAACGATTCTGTGTCCCTGAGTAACGATTCTGTGTCCCTGAGTAACGATTCTGTGTCCCTGAGTAACAATTCTGTGTCCCTGAGTAACGATTCTGTGTCCCTCAGTAACGATTCTGTGTCCCTCAGTAACGATTCTGTGTCCCTGAGTAACAATTCTGTGTCCCTGAGTAACAATTCTGTGTCCCTGAGTAACGATTTTGTGTCCCTGAGTAACAATTCTGTGTCTGTCTTTGAGTAACGATATTCTGTGTCCCTGAGTAACGATTCTGTGTCCCTGAGTAACGATTCTGTGTCCCTGAGTAACAATCTGTGTCCCTGAGTAACAATTCTGTGTCCCTCAGTAATGATTCTGTGTCCCTCAGTAACGATTCTGTGTGCCTGAGTAACGATTCTGTGTGCCTGAGTAACAATTCTGTGTCCCTGAGTAACGATTCTGTGTCCCTGAGTAACGATTCTGTGTCCCTGAGTAACAATTCTGTGTCCCTGAGTAACGATTCTGTGTCCCTGAGTAACAATTCTTGTGTCCCTGAGTAACAATTCTGTGTCTGTCCCTGAGTAACGATTCTGTGTCCCTGAGTAACAATTCTGTGTCCCTGAGTAACGATTCTGTGTCCCTGAGTAACAATTCTGTGTCACTGAGTAACGATTCTGTGTCCCTGAGTAACAATTCTGTGTCCCTGAGTAACAATTCTTTGTCTGTCCCTGAGTAACGATTCTGTGTCCCTGAGTAACAATTCTGTGTCCCTGAGTAACAATTCTGTGTCCCTGAGTAACGATTCTGTGTCCCTAAGTAACGATTCTGTGTCCCTGAGTAACGATTCTGTGGCCCTAAAGTCTCTGTGGCCCTAACTCTGTCCCTAATACACATAGGTCTGTCTCTCTTGAATGACCGGAGGCTAATGGAGAATTCTAAGATGGCCGCGATTTATAGCTCCACCATTACACAGTGCTGGCTGGCTGGCTGCTGATTGGCTAATGCGATCACATGTCATGAATGAATGCATTATGGGTCAGCGCGCCTTGTCTGCGCGCCTTCCCCAGAGATCCCCGCTCCGTCGCCACACATGTCGCCGCCATTTTTGGGAAAATTCGATTCGTGCATCCGAAGTTGACTAATCTTCAGATTCGTCGCGAATCGAATATTTCCCAATCTTCGAAACGAATTCCACTTCGCCATGTTCGATCCGCTCATCTCTAGTTCTCTCATAAGCTTCACTAAATCCCTAGTGACTGGGTACATGTATCCATGTTCCTTACAATATCCTGGGAGGGTGTCAAGGACGACCGCAAGTTGACATATGCTGTCATAAGCTCTGACTCAGAATCTTCTACCGTCTCTATTATTTCACTCAAATTCTCCTTTATGCTTTCTTGTTTTAGCTTTCTGCGAATGTCTTTGATGTATGCTTTCCACCTCTCATATATTCGGACAAACTTTTTTCCTTTCAGTGCTGCCTCTTGCTCCAAATTTTCTAGCACCTTTTGGGTTGGTTTTCTGTCCCGTGATGAACGTCTTAGTTCACCTGTTTCAGCTATATTTGTTTGGGGCGAGACTACCGTTACATTGCACCTTTCAGATTCAGACAGGTTCTCTTGCTCTTCACCTTCTACCATATCTATCATTGCATCCGCTAACAGTGGGGTGGCAATGCTAGGCTCAGCCATTTCTGAATGCTATAACAATTAATATGAATAATAAGGACCTGTCACTTTAAATGCAATACTAACAAATGCAAGAATAAATGACTTTCACTTTACATGTAATAGCACCAAAATGCAGGCAATAAATGACTTTCACTTTAAATACATCAGACTCATATACTATAACTGTCTCTTTTTATTAAAAGTCTGTATTCTCTTGAGCACAAAAATGTCTCTTGCAGAAACCTATGTGCGTAAGTGAGTAATAAAGGAAAGCTCTGACCTTAATTGGAAAGCAGGATACCGTGATCTGAGGGTTGCAGAAACAAACGTCAGTCTTAAAGGAGACTTTTCTTTTCTTGATGTGGTGACTTGCGATGCTCTGCGGTGACTTGCGATGCTCTGCGGTGACTTTGCGATGCTCTGCGGTGACTTGCGATGCTCTGCGGTGACTTTGCGATGCTCTGCGGTGACTTTGCAATGCTCTGCGGTGGCCTTGCGATGCTCTGCGGTGACTTGAGACTAGTATCGTGAACTCTCTGGATGCAACACGTGTCTCTTGATGGATAGCGGTGCGGGCACTCTAGCTCTGGACTCTGGCCCTCCCCCCATGCATCTCTTTCTCTCTCTAGGGGTGCAGGAGGTTTGGCGCTCTTTCTCTGACTGTCTTGCCTTTGCCGTTATGCCACTTTAAGAGTCGTCTGCAGTCTGACTAATGCGCACGTGCTATGGCCTGTACTGTTGTTCCGCTGAGGTGTCTCCGCGTGGCGGTATATGCTGGCGCTCTATTTCTCTAGTGTACTCTTTACTGTGCAAGATGAGGAGCACTGTTGCTTGACCTCTGAGGGTAATAGTTCCACTGTGGCAGGCGCAGCACCCTTTGGTGCCTAGTGGCATTAGAAAAATTATGCAATTGCTGTTTCTTTGTTTGATTAGACTGACTTTACTCTGTAATTCCTCCAATGCCGCTCTATGGATGCAGTAGGTTTAAAGAGCACACCGAATACTTTAGTTAACTTCTTTAATAACTTCAATCTTCTTCATATAACTGCTTACAATGGCTTATTTCTTTCATATTACAATGGTTTAATTCGTATTACATTGGGTTGATTTGATAGCTTATCTCGATAAATTCGATAGGATTCGTTCGATTATGATTACTCTACAGTGACTTGATTTGTAAGTTCGGTGGAACTACAAGTAAACACATACAACAGTTTTTAGACACAGATCTACCTGCACTGTTAAACAACAGAGGAACACACAAGTGCATTAAATACCTATTTGGCCTTCTGTACTTCCATGGAGCTTCTCTGATTGGAACTTTGTCTGTTTCCTCCTCTGTCTGGTGAGCATGTGTCTCTAGAAAATCCTAGCAGGGAGTTTTACACAGGCATAAATGTGAAACTGGCTGGGATTGGTTAAGGCTCTGTACAGTGTGAGGCTGTCTGTGATTGGCTCACCTTATACTAACTCTTAAAGGCATATTTTCCTTTTCTGCTTCTGCTAACAAAATTAATATAAAAATGTCATATAACATTCAAAGACATAAATTACAGCAATGATTCTGCTTTTGGCTTTAACATATAGACATATATACTGTACTGAGGTTATTGGCAGGCTTGGTATACACATATATGTGAACCATATTAACAACCTAGGACTGGTCTTAGCTGGCCAGCTACACTCCTGCCGCCTGACAGCTTTGCCATCTCCTGCCACTAAATAAACTAAGGGATGGGCCACCTAGTGATGTCATTTGGTGTCCCCTTCATTTATTTAGCAGCGGGAGGCAGTGGAGCTGTTAGATGGCGGGAGCAGGCGCAGACCTCTTTCATCATGATTGATTTGGTCTGCTTCGGGGGGACATTTATTTTTGCCTGTTTTTTTTTTTTTTTAATAAAGGACTTGTCAAACAATATCTCTGTTTTTTACTCAAATTTAACACTTTTTTGGTGAATTAGTAGGGGTAACGTGTACCCCATATTCATTCACATGGGGGCAGGATCTGGGGGCTTCCAGATTTTGATAAGCCCCCTGCCCGCAGACCCCCACAACAACTGCCCAGTGTTGTGCGGAGAAGACCCTTGTCCCCATCAACATGAGGACAAGGTGCTTTGGGAGAGTTCCCCTTGCTCCAAAGTACCCCCCCCCATATTGAGAGCATGTAGCCTGGTATGGTTGGAGGGGAACTCACTAATTTCCCCCCCCCCTTTCCTGACCTGCCAGGTTGCAAGGTCGCATAAGGGTCTGGTATTGTTTTTTTTGGGGGGAGACCCCATGTTGTTGTTTTTTTTTTTTAAATTATGGCACTTAAAATCCATACCAGACCCAAAGGTCCTGGTATGGATTGGGGGGGGACCCACACAGTTTTTTTCTTATTTTTTTTTGTGTTTTGTGAAATTTCACTTTATAAAGAATACCAAATCTTCCCATGCAAGAAAAATAAAAAACATTTTTGCATGCACATGATTGGATGATGGACCTCAGAAGAGCTGTACCTCACTCACTAGGCTCTGATGAAAATTCCCCTGCAAAGTGCAACTTCCCTTGTAAATTGAACAATCTATTTCGCTTTAGCAAATCAACCCCAATCTGTCTGTATCATGCACCAGACATTTGGGTTTATTTGCTAAAACTGAAGTGTGCATAATCTGGTGCAGTTCTGTCTAGAAACCAACCAGCTTTCAGGCTTTTTTGGCAAAGCTTAATCGAACAAGCTGAAGTTAGAAGCTGATTGGTTACCATGTACCACTGCACCAGATTTTGCACTCTCCAGTTTTAGTAAATCAACCCCATTGCTTGGTCATTTACTGTCTGTATAGTGTGTCTGTTAAATTAATTTAGCAAAGCAAAAAATCAAACAGCAGATGAGAGAAAAATCAAAGAGCAAATGGAAATTGTAATTTGTTTCCATCACAAGATTGTCTCAGTCTACTGGGCTGAATGATACCCAACGTCATTCAATGGAGAAGTATGAGGAGGGCATCACAAAGCCTCTCCTGAAGGGACTTCACCATGGCACCCTGCATTCACATGCAATGATGCAGAAAGCAGTGATGACGTTATCAAATCAGTGAAGATATCTGTATTATTGAGGACCAGCCTCCACTGAGTGTGGATTCACACTATAGTAGTGCATAGGGTTGCCACCTCATTCCTTTAAAACGTATAAACACATATTAATTACACAGGTTTGGTGGTTGATTAAGGTGGTAATTAAACTTACTTAGAGCCTTATCTACAATATATTAGCCACAGAAACCTTGTAAATAATGTGTTTTGTTTTAAAGGGATGAGGTGGTAACCCTAGCGGTGTGGGAAATTACATGAGATTCCAGCAGGAATCACACCACATTCCTGTTCAAATTACATGAGATTCTTTGCTGTGAAATTTGAGTCCATTTATTTTGATTGGGCTCAATTTGCACTGTACCTGCACAAAAAAGGTGCACAAACCTTTTTTTCTGCCATACTGAATTGAATTGCATGGGTGCATTTTGCAATCTGTTTTGGGGTGTCATTAGTTCAACATGGACACCGGTGAGAGCTCACATGAATGGAGTGCAATTTCAATGCGGTGGTGGAAACACTCAGGATTCGCTGCATTTCCCGCACCGCATATATGTGAATAAGCTCTGAAGAGGACCCTGCAAGGCATGTGATCCTCCAATTGCGAATGGTTTTACAAAATCCACCTGTCAATCAAATGTAATGGAATTTAACAGGGAAGTGCCACATTGTTCTGGGTGTTGATGTGTTCCATCTCCTATGCCAGGGGTCTCCAAACTTTCTAAACAAAGGGCCAGTTTACTGTCCTTCATACTTTAGGGGGCCGGACTAAGATTGGGGAAAGTAGAAAATGCCCCGTGGTCAATGGGAGTAAAAGTAAAAAAAATTACACAGAACTTGTGGTCAGTAAGAGAAGGATTAGTGCCCCATTGTTGGTGTCAGTGGAAGGAATCGCGCCCCGTCATTGCGTTGGTGTCAGTGGAGGGATATGTGCCCTAGCATTGATGTCATTGGGAGAAATAGTGCACAGTTGTTGATGTCAGTGGGGAAATTATACCCCACTGTTGGTGTTAGTAGAAAGAATTGTGTCTTATTACTGGTATCAGTTGGTGAAATAGTGCTCCAAGGGCAAAGGACTTCATCCAGCCCATGGGCCCCAGTTGGAGACCACTGTCCTATGCAAATAGAGAAGCAAAATGTTGCCAAGCAGTAGACTAGTATGTTGAATACGCATGTGGTCAGAACTCTATGCATTTCACATTGTGCTTCATAAGGAGATGTGAGGTGATGATCTATGATGGTGCTATTGGAAGAGAATGCAGTCTGTCAGTGAGAGGAACACCTACATCACCAGCAAAATAGAGATAACTGGAGGAGTACAACCAGCCTTACCATATACACCATATTGACAAAAGTATTGGGACACCCCTCCAAATCATTGGATTCAGGTGTTCCAATCACTTCCATGGCCACAGGTGTATAAAATCAAGCACCTAGGCATGCAGACTGCTTCTACAAACATTTGTGAAAGAATAGGTCGCTCTCAGGAGCTCAGTGAATTCAAGTATGGTACCGTGATAGGTTGTCACCTGTGCAATCTGGGAAATGTCCTTGCTACTAATTATTCCACGGTCAACTGTTAGTGGTATTATAACAAAGTGGATGCAACTGGGAACAACAGCAACTCATCCACCAAGTGGTAGGCCACGTAAAATGACAGGGCGGGGTCAGTGCATGCTGAAGCGCACAGTGAGCAGAAGTAGCCAACTGTCTGCAGAGTCAATAGCTAAAGACCTCCAAACTTTGTGTTGCCTTCAGATTAGCACAACAACAGTGTTTAGAGAGCTTCATGAAATGGGTTTCCATGGCCGAGCAGCTGCATCCAAGCCTTACATCACCAAGTGCAATGCAATCCGTTGGATGCAGTGGTGTAAAGCACGCCGCCACTGGACTCTAGAGAAGTGGAGACGTGTTCTCTGGAGTGATGAATCATGCTTCTCTGTCTGGCAATCCAACAGAAGTGTCTGGGTTTGGCGGTTGCCAGGAGAATGGTATTTGCCTGACTGCATTGTGCCAAGTGTAAAGTTTGGTGGAGGGGGGATTGTGATATGGGGTTGTTTTTCAGGGGTCGGGCTTGGCCCCTTAGTTCCAGTGAAGGGAACTCTTAAGGCGTCAGCATACCAAGACATTTTGGACAATTTCATGCTCCCAACTTTGTGGGAAGAGTTTGGGGATGGCCCCTTCCTGTTCCAACATGACTGCGCACCAGTGGACAAAGCAAGGTCCATAAAGACATGGATGAGTGAGTTTGGGGTGGAGGAACTTGACTGGCCTGCACAGTGTCCTGACCTCAACCCGGTAGAACACCTTTGGGATGAATTAGAGCAGAGACTGTGAGCCAGGCCTCCTCATCTGACATCAGTGCCTGACCTCACAAATGCGCTTCTGAAAGAATGGTCAAACATTCCCATAGACACCCTCCTAAACCTTGTGGACAGCCTTCCCAGAAGAGTTGAAGCTGTTATAGCTGCAAAGGGCGGGGCCAACTCAATATTGAACCCTATGGACTAAGACTGGGATGCCATTAAAGTTGATGTGCGTGCAAAGGCAGGCATCCCAATACTTTTGGCAATATAGTGTACTGTATATACAGTATATATGTGTGTGTGTGTGTGTTTCATTTCTATATTTAACAGACCAT